GGGGGGGGGGAGGGGCGGTGGGACGCCCACCACGCCTGTCGCCCTGCAGCGTGCACTCAGAGCCCCGGTGCCGGAGCTGCGACCGCTTCCTGACCTGCCACGAGTGTCTGCAGAGCCATGAGTGCGGCTGGTGCGGCAATGAGGACAACCCCACACTGGGACGGTGAGGCAGGGGACAGTGAGGCCAGAGGGTGGGGCGGGGGATGCGGCTCTCCTTCCGCCCTAATTCTAATGGCCTGTTTCTCTCCTCCTTCACCTTTTCTCTGTTTTTCTTCCCTTCCCCTCTCTCTCCGATTCTCTCTCTTTTCTCCACTCCTACCCGGGCTCTGTGGCTCTTTTGTTCTCATTCTTCCTTCTTGTCTTTCTGTTTCTGTCTTTCTTTCTCCCTCCCTTTCACTGTCTCCCTGTCTCTGTCTCTTGTTTCTCTCTGTTCCCACCCCCTTCTTCACCTCCTGCCCCCCCCCCCAGGTGCCTTCAGGGGGACTTCTCGGGGCCTCTGGGTGGGGGTAACTGCTCTCTGTGGGTGGGGGAGGGCCTGGGGCTGTCTGTGGCCCTCCCTGCCCGCTGGGCATATGCCCGCTGTCCAGACGTGGACGAGTGTCGCCTGGGCCTGGCGCGGTGCCACCTGCGGGCGACCTGCCTGAACACACCCCTCAGCTACGAGTGTCACTGCCAGCGGGGCTACCAGGGCGATGGCATCACATACTGCAACCGCACGTGAGTGGGTGCGGGTTTCCATGGAGATGTCGCCCCAGGGCTGGGGCACGTGGAGATGGAGGGAGGAGGTGATCATGGTGCTGGGGTGCCTCCCTGGAACCAGCATCCCCAGTGAGCCCGGGGTTTTTACCTTGCGGGGTAGGCCCTCATTAGAGTGACAGGGTCCCCAGTGTGACACTAGTTACTGTGGAGACGGGTCATCCATGGACTGCGGGCCATAGTCTTCAGCGTTGCCATGGAAATGGAGGAGGACCAAGTTGAAAGGGGTTTTCACAGAGAGCAGATCACCAGTGGTGATACGTGGTTACTATAGAGACAGAAGTTACCACGTGCGATGGGGTTACCTTGGAGACAGGGCCGCCTACGGAGCCCAGGACCGTGGAACAGGCAGTCGCTTGTGATGGCGTTGCCGTGGAGATGATGGGTTGGAATGGGGTGTGTCGGGGCGTGCCTTGGGGGCCGAGGGCCTGCCTAGCCCTTCCGTGCTCCTGCCACGCCCTCAGGTGCTTGGAAGACTGTGGCCACGGTGTGTGCAGCGGCCCCCCTGACTTCACCTGCGTGTGTGACCTGGGCTGGACGTCAGACCTGCCCCCGCCCACGCCTGCCCCGGGACCCCCCGCGCCCCGCTGCTCCCGGGACTGCGGCTGCAACTTCCACAGCCACTGCCGCCGGCGGGGGCCTGGCTTCTGTGATGAGTGCCAGGGTGAGCGGCCACATCCCCACCCCCGGGGCCAGCTCCAGTTTCCTTTCTCTGCCTGGGCTTCTGGGTCTCCTCTCCCAGCTGTGGATCCCCCTGTCCCATTGCCTGCTTCTGACCCCAAACGGTTTCAGTGCCACCCCCCGTCCTGGGACTTGGCTATTCCTCCCCAGTCTGGGCCCCTGCTTACCTTCCTTTGAAGCAGGCAGGTGGGGTCAGGGATAGGCTGAGCCAGTTGTCGGGCCCCTCCTGCCCTTGCCCTGACTCTGTGTCCCACCTGCTGGGGCCCCCACAGACTGGACGTGGGGGGAGCACTGCGAACGGTGCCGGCCCGGCAGCTTTGGCAACGCCACGGGCTCGGGCGGCTGCCGGCCCTGCCAGTGCAACGGGCATGGGGACCCGCGCCGCGGCCACTGTGACAACCTCAGCGGGCTCTGCTTCTGTCAGGACCACACCGAAGGTGCCCACTGCCAGCTCTGCTCCCCCGGCTACTATGGGGACCCTCGGTGAGCCAGGGGCCAGCCAGGTGGGCCAGGGTGTGGTTAGGGATGTGGTAGGACAGGGCAAGGCTGGTCTGACACTGTTCTTTCCTCCGTCTCCCCAGGGCTGGTGGCTCCTGTTTCCGGGAGTGTGGGGGGCGTGCCCTCCTTACCAACGTGTCCTCAGTGGCGCTGGGCTCACGCCGGGTTGGGGGGCTGCTGCCTCCAGGCGGTGGGGCAGCAAGAGCTGGGCCAGGCCTGTCCTATTGCGTGTGGGTTGTCTCAGCCACCGAGGTGCTGCAGCCCTGTGCCCCTGGGACCCTCTGTCCCCCCCTCACCCTCACCTTCTCCCCCGACAGCAGCACCCCCTGCACGGTGAGTGCCGAGCGTGCCAGAGTTCAGGCCCGTGTTTCCCCCACCCAGTCTGAATCCTCAGACAGGCCCTGACCCTACATCCCTTTTTCTTTATCCTTCAAACCCTAAGCTCCCTTCCTCAGACCCCAGACCTTCATTCCTAAGCCCACAGACCCTCCCATTCCCCAGATCACCTCCTACTTCCTGAGCCCCCCGTTCCCCATTCCTCGGTCCAGGCATGGTTAGTATCTGTACAATGTGTGTGTGCCAACTCTGGCCAGTAGGTAGGGGCTGCCGGGAGCTGGGCACCGAGAACGAGGCTCCGTGCAGAGTGCCTGATCCATCGATTAGCCATGTCTGCTGTGAGCTTGGGAGGGGAAGGGTAGCCTCCGTGCCACAGTTTGACAGTCTGCCCAGAAGTTTCAAGCAGCTCGTTTCCCGGTCTCAGATTGCCCTCTCCTTTTGAGCTCCTCCTCCTCCCCAAGCGTCCCCAAGCGTCCCTCTTTCTCAGCCTTACTGTCCTGATCCTTCACTCTGCATCCTTCACTTCCAGCTGAGCTATGTCCTGGCCTTTGATGGATTCCCGCGCTTCCTGGACACTGGTGTCGTCCAGTCGGACCGTAGCCTCATTGCTGCCTTCTGTGGCCAGCGGCGGGACAGGCCTCTCACTGTGCAGGCCCTGTCTGGTATGGTGGCTGGGGAAAGCGGGACCCTGTCCTGGACTATGGAGCCCTTGTCCCTGTACCTTGCTCCCTGAGGTGGGCTCAAGACCCAGCCCACCCTCGGCACTGCCCCTGACTTCCTGGGTGATGCTGTCCCTTGCTACATCTGGGCCTCAGTTTCTTCAGCTGAGAGGCTAATAGGATTGCCCTGGCTGGGCTGCTTCTCTGAGAGAAGGCCCATGTGGGACAAGTCTTTGGGGTACACAGAATGTGGCTGGCGTGAAGGCCCCTGACTGTCTCCTCAGCCTGGTGGTTCTCAACAGGGCGGGGGTGGGGGAGGATTTTGCCCCTTGGGCCTTTTGGCTAAGTCTGGAGACATTGCGATTGTCACGAGTGCTGCTGGCGTGTCACGGGTGGAGGCCGGAGATACGGCTGTGCCTTCTGCAGCGCACAGGATGGCCCCCACAACCAAGAATTACCAGGCCCGTTACATCAGCAGTGCTGAGAGGTTGGGAAACCGGCCTTGTCTGATGGAGTTGCGCTAAAAATAATTTGTTACCTGTGGCGGTTGAAGGGCCCGAGTTTGGAAATACTTCCTGTTCACGTTGTAAATCGGAGTGGTTCCGGGGCTGGAAGAGAGGGCGGAGTGGTAGTTGGCCTGCTGGGGACTGCACGCGACCCCGGAGCCCTCCACAGAGAGCAACTAGAGCTAGGGGCCCTCGATTTCACTTCACCCAGCAAATGTGTACTGAGCACCTTCCGTGAGCCCCACCCGAGCTGGGTGCCCGGGGCGTACAGCAGGACAAGGGACGCAGGTGGGGAGGAAGAGGGTAACAAACAGCATCAACACATTTTAGTCAGAATAGTGATACCTTTGCTAAGGGATGAGAGGAAGCAGAAAGGAGGCACCTGGCCTGTCTGGAGGGTTTGGGGAGGGCTTTTTTTAGAGGTGAGATTTCACTTGAGGCCTGAAGGGGGCGGTGTGGGAGAGGGAGGAGGGTTCTCCAGGCTCTGGAGGCCAGAAGAGCAGGTGCCCAGGCCCGGAGAGGCAGTCTGGGGACCCGCCCTGCTAGAGCACAGAGGGCTGGGAGAGTGGGAGGCCTTGAGGTCGGAGGGCCTATGGCATCTCCACTATTAACATAACTTTATTAAGGCATTATTATTATTATTATTATTATTATTATTTAAAAAATGTTTTTAATGTTTATTTATTTTTGAGAGAGAGACAGAGCATGAGCAGGGGAGGGGAAGAATCTGAAGCAGGCTCCAGGCTCTG